GAATCAAAGGAAACAATAATAATAATCACCATGAATTGACATTAATTAAGAAAGCTATGACTTTCGAGTGGAATATAAGGCGGCTTTCAAGCTTGCCTGAACTTTGCAGCTTCACTTCCACAGTGAGATTGCTAACTTCACGCCCAACCTTCCTTCTTCACTTGGCTTACTGGTTAAGTGAAGTTTAAGGAGTGTGTTAGCGGCGAGGATTATATCACTGAACCACCGATGCACTATTTTTATTTTTTTTTTAATTTTGATTACAGCTTGATGCCACACCGTATTTTCAGTACAAGTATGGAATTTTCAGCATGCGATATCGGTAGCCCAAATTTTGCAGGCCGACCATAGATATCGGGTGTGCGTCGGCAGGGGATCGAACCCCGGACCATGTGCATGGTCGGCGAGAGTCCTAACCACTGTGCCACCGACGCACGCGATATTTAATGGTCAGTAGCAATTGACAGAAAGTCCTGAAACTATGCTTCGTGTTTAATGATACTTATCAGCATGATGTGCCTTCAATTCCCCCTAGACCTGGATAGTTCAGTGGTAATGTCTCCGATTGCATTACTCCTATTCATCACCTGTATTTAGTGAATAAAGTCTTAGTCTTACTAAGTAATAAGTGTGTGAACATAAGTTAAGAGTGGAAAATTGCATAATTTCAAAAAAAATCTTCTCAAGTATATTCAATAGACATTTGACATTTGTCAAATGTAGGACACTGAAACTGACACTAACCATTTCGTAAATTAAAGATGGAGAGTAAAATAGTTTAATCTACTGGGAATTTCATTTATTTGAAATGCACAAAGATGAAATCCCTCCATCTCTTGCATTGGTCAGATATTCATCCACCTACATAAAATAACCTTCATCCACTACAGTTAAGAGTTGCTGCCTCAGGTAAATAACACCAAGAGGTCATAGTTTTCTGGCCATAAGTGTTCCTGCTGTGATTATTACTCACTAGAGAGGATAGTTGAGTCAGTAAGTGTCTACAATGTCTGTCATACAGGTTGAATTACCACCAGCCGCTTGGATCAGACACATTGATAGAATTAGTAATTAAATTAATAAAAATCTATCAGTGTTCGGACTAACATTTAATAGCACTTTGAGAAACACTCTGATCTCTGATCAAAACGATGTAGGAAACTATAGATTAACAAGAATAACTGTGCTAAATTTCAGTATGCATGACATAAACTTCAGGGATCGGTTATGATTTGATAGCGGACTGAAAATCTCGGCAGCGACAGGACTCGTACCTGAGGCCTTTAATTGATACATTTTGGTTACAGGGAATAGTTCTCTACCCAATTTGTCAGCCAGTAGAATTTTGTTGTCAATCTTCTGAAAAGTAGCAGAATAATTGGTTCACAGTTACTTCTGCTACTAACAGTAGAAGGGATAATAGTTGTTTTTGTTGTATTAATTATAATTGTTAATATTCTTCTCCCCTGTTACTCTATGTGACATCTCCTGTCATCTATAGAGATAAGTGTATAGAGAGATATGTTCACTTATTGGGTATTTGTATAGGCAGTGAATGCATGAAAATATCTCATATCTATATATATAAACCTATCCAACTCTAACTGCCCATCTATCTATTCATCCATTCATTCGCTTAACATCAGATAATTAGTTGACTATGTGACTATGCATTACATGTATGTTTTGAACATACATCAGTCAGTCTCTTGTTTGTGTTTTATGCTTCTTTTTCTACTTCTAATGTCCCTCTCTCTCTCTCCTCCCTCTTTCGCTTGGTCTCTATCACTCTTCCACTGTCTCTCTTTTCCCTGTCACTGATTTCCTATCACTGAAAATAGAATCATGTTTTAAAAATTGTATACAAGTGTATCCTAGTGACAAGAGTACATTTACTGATGGTTAATTAATAATAACAATAATTAATGTGACTATTGAAACTATTGAATATGTGAATGCAGCTTTCTATGAAATTGTACTACACATGTATGTATACACTTGTAGATATTTAAAAAAATAATAACGCTAGCAGTAAACATAGAAGACACAACCATTACAAAAAGAAAGACATTAAGAGAAGACAGGAATGGAACAGGGGACATTGGTAATGAAAAGTATTTGAAGGAAAGAAAAAAGACTGATAGCAAACAAACAAACAAACAAAATAAGTCAAGGAGTCGATGTTACTACATTTACCTTTCATCCATCTGAGTTTAAACCCCCTCCCCCCGTTACTATGAGAACCAATGAGTAACCATGTTAGAGACAGAAATATTTCGTGATTATCCTTTGATCAATGGTCATAAACAAAACAAGTCATCTGATATTCAATTCCTATAGAAAAAGTGTCTGTTAGCTCCAAGGTTCGATTCCCGGCCGACATATACCTAGACCTGGCCTAGTTGACTAACCAATAGTAAGACCAAAAAGAAGGAGGCTTGGGCATTAGGTTAGCAAACTCAAGTTGTAAAACCAACACCATCGCTGCTCAAACTTCAAAGCTTGAAGCCGCATATTCCACTGAAAACACATGAGGAATGAGAATAAATTTTAATTAACGATTAATTATTTTCAAGTGTTAGTTTGCAGGAGTCCTATTGATTTCAGCTGAGATCACAGACTGACGTCAGTTAGAGAGCCATTGTAAACCAGGGAGAACTAGACAGCTGTTTCGCCCTCCTTCTCTGGAACTTTTTAGCAGTACGTACCCATGACCCCATCACAAAAAGTTGAATCTAGGACATTTGAGTTACAAGACTATCCCATTCAGCCAATGAGACGGAATCCAATGCTCAATCGATAAATTCAAAAATTCTAATAGTTGGCAATATATAAATAACACTACCGCTAATCAATATCATCGGGTAACATTTATCCTCATACCCAAATTGGTTCAATTACTAAAGGGTCCCAAAAAAAAATCCAGTATTCCCTAATTTTCAATGGCTCTCTAACTCAATTCACTTCATAACCAATTTTGAAAACAATTAGTTAACCTGAATTTAGGTTGTATAAATTGATGTGGCTCTATGAAGTCAGTCAGTCTGAGTACATTGATGAATAAGCCTGGTGTTAAGATAACCTTGATCTAGTTGGTAATGACACTACTGATATGAAGTGAGTAGTATCCACCTACTTATATTCGTCAGTAGTAAGTATCACTTCAAAATAATGAACTTTCATCATTCATTTATTTTCATTCATTTATAATTTACTCTACAGTAATGAATTTTAATTCTATAATATTAATGAAAAAGTGTTACATTAAAATAAATTATAAAAATTGTAATAAGATTGAAAATTGATAGTCACTTTTGTTAATCATACACACACACACACACAAAAGGAAATTAACAAGTCAGATCCTAGTGATCTACTTTTCAACATTTAAATACTGTGCTTTTTCGATCTTCTTATGTATTACCTACTGTTGATTGTAATGGTTGTGGTACAGGCTCGGAATTAATCTTAGGTAAATGAATTCATCAATAGCACTGAAGTCTCCGTGTTTCTAATATTTATATACATGTATATGTATATAAGATCAAATTGCTTTTTAAAAAATAAAATACTATCTATGAATGGATATATATTTATAACAATTGCATCAGTGTGGAATTTCATTCATGGTTTATAAATGTAGAAAGATATTCAGTGAAATTTCAGATTCTTATTCTATCTACTATCTTAGATCATAGAAATGTTTGTTTGTCAAACACCTCATACGGAATGATGAATAATTCAATATCCATTCTCATGACTGAGACATAATAAATTGCAATTGTGCTGTGACGTTGAATATGATTGATGTATAAAGGGACGATGATATGGTATAGCCTAAATGCCCTCACCCCACCCACCCCCACCAGTTTGAATGAGTGCTAATTGAACACAAGGTAAACTGAAGAATTCCTGATACAAAAGACCCCTCATAGAACAACATAAAATCATGAAAATGCAATTTTTGTATGCTTAGCTTTGAAGCCTAAAGCTTAGATGTGACTTAGAAGCGATATTAACTGTCACAGACAGACAGTAGTAAGAACTTTGAAGACGTCCAAGAGAATACCTCGTAAAAAGTTTTTTCAATTCATAATTATTACAACTGTTTCCTTTAATTCGTAGAGGAACATAGGGCTTCAGCCGCACGTCTCCATTGCGTTCGCTTCTCTGCCAACGTTTTCACCTGGCTCCATGCCTGCCAACATACTTTCATCTCTTCTTCGCATGACCTCCTCCATGTCACCATCACACTGACGACCAACTCGCCGCTTCCCACTCGGGTTACACTCGAGCGATGGCCTGGCGTGTGATGTCACTTTGATGGTTTGTTTTCTCAGAGAATGACCAATCTACCTTCATTTCTTCCTGCATATTTGTTGCACAATCGGTTCCTGCTGATCTTATCTGGCCGGCCATCTGATCTTGAATGGTATTGAGCGAAGACAGCCGTTGATGAAGTTCTGTAGTTTGTTCGAAGTGCCTTTCATGACTTCCAATTCATAAACTTAATGCCAAATATCTAAATAGTGTATTACTCATGTTATTACGTGAACGAGAAACACACTACATATAAGCGTCGTTGTTAGAACATGTCATCACATTACTCTGTTCTTTATGCGTACATATATTATAAAATTTATTTCAGTAATATAATAATAACAGACATAAAAAGCTCTTAAAATAATACATATTTTCATTCCTTTGCCTTCTGATAGTACAACATAGAGCGGCTCCAAGTTTTAAGCTTCAAAAAGATTTACTAGCAGTGGTGTCGCCTTTTAAAGAATGGGATTGCTACTACACTCCCAACCCTCCCTCATTCCCATCACTTGCAAACTCGCCTAGTTAACCAGATGAGGAATCGGACCCCAGAACCATGTGAATGAATGGTGAGCATTTTACAATTGAACCAGGTGATGCATTAAAATGATGTTTTAGTCAAAAATAACCCATACTAAGGCAAATTTCTTACTTTACTTTACTATACTTTTTTTTGAAAACTTTCCAGGCATTCATTGCATCCACACACACACACACACATAAACACATCAAAATCTTCAAATGGAAACAATCAAACAAACTAAACCTTCCATCAAAGATACCAAACGCTTTCCATTTATATCTCTGTTGGTGGTGGTTAGGATTGTTGGTGTTCCCGTTGTTGCTAATGTCAGTTATGTTGACATTGTGTTGTCCAGTGTAGTGAGGAAGAAAAGACAGGCAAACAAACAAACAAGCAAGCGAACAAACAATGATGAATTGACATCCGGTCATCTCAATGCGATGATTGACATACTCACATATATACATATAGACAACGATGGAGATGATGACGAGGATGATGAGAATATAAAATGTGAAGATGGTTAAAAAGAAAGCGTAGGGGGTGGGGTAGGGTGGGAGAATAAATAATTGTTTTCATTTAATGATGTATATTTTGTGAGATGACAGTAAATAAAATAAGCTTCTTCAAGTAGAAGAAGAAGAGGAAGATAAGATGTCATAAGGCTTGGATTAGATAGATTGTCATGACTCATTCCTTTCAATAACAACAACAGCAACAACAACATCTCCATCACCACCTTCATTATCCCCATAGCATAGATGAAATTGAAGTGGAAAAAAATTACATGACAGGTGGAAATGACAGATAAGTTGAACACATTTCAAGTAGGATTACTTCAAGGGCTATTTGTCCTTCTTCTTCTTCTTCCTGTTCATTTCCCATCTATTTTTCGTTGATCCCTTTTCTCCTTAAAGGGGAAAATGAATAATCGCATAGGAAGAGATGAACAGTTATGTATGTATGTATGTGTGCCTGTGAGTGTGTATGTGTGGGTATGTATAGATTGTCAGCTTTCAACAGAACAGTTCACTAAAGACCTGATGACATATATCTATGTACAACAGATATAAGCCATTCCACACATAAAAGCATTTCATCTAAAGAGACTTCATCTAAAACACTTCAAAACTTGAGTGTATAATGGTCATCATGAGAACAATGCTGATAATGATAATGTTATTTGCTTGTTTTTGTAATATATGTTCATTAAATGTCACAATCATGTCAATTATACAGAAAGTACTCAAGTTTAATTATAGTTCTGATTGCTATTCAGAGATTCTTGAGCATATTGATATATAAATATATAATCTAACTGAGTAATACGACAGAAATCAAAGTGTTGTGTGTTCTTTTCTCTTCCCCTCCCCTCTTCCTTTTTTGTTTATTTAACTGTTTTCCAACTTTTTTCCCCTCTCTAATTTCATCTTTGTCAATTGCATACATTTCAGGTCAAAGAAGAGATCAAACAGAGTAAACAAATGTAATAACAACGTATTTCTATTATTGATAAATCTCCAACTGATGTCAGCTCATGATGAAATCCTACAACCAATCAAACGAAAATCCCTACAAACCCATATACTTGAAAATTAATCTGATGCTCACTAGCGACTGGCCCTATTCAGGCAATTAATCTGGGGTTCTAGTGGGAAGCCGTGATCAGTAGGGTACAGCAGGTCGAAGGTGAGGACAGTTACTCATCGAAGAAGACATTGCGAAGTGGTCGCGCTATGTCATGGTGAATTGGCAGAAGTTAGAATTCATGCACTGGCTGGCCATTGGATTGGGTCAGGTGCCAGTGGCTTAATGGTCTACAAGCTCGGTGGCCTTGTAACCAGAAGATCATGGGTTCGAACCCCGGTGGTGGGTGCGTACTGCTGAATAAGAGTCCCAAACTAGACTGACGAAACAGCTGTCCAGTACTCCCAGGTGGTTTTCCAGTGGTTCTGTAACTGATGTCAGCTCATGATGAAATCCTCCATCCAATTAAATCTGGGAGAGTTTAACAGTGACTTGTGAAGACATTATTATTGGTTTTACTGAGTACGAATGGAAATTTGTATGGTATATGCATTATTCTAGATCATGTGATCCTGTTGATAACATGAAATCATATACACAAGAGTCAAACAGTAGCTCTTCTTGGTCTACGGGGCTTAATTTCCAACCATTGGATGACGGGCTCAAACCCCATTTCACCTACCAAGGTTTCAGAAGTCAGGTAGTCTCACTAGCCCTTACAAATTAGCTGTAGCTTATTGCCAGTTGCACGGAATTGCAAGTGGTTGTCAAGTAACATAACATATGTCCACAGAAAAAAGAAAAATGGGAGTGAGAAAAGATGGCTTCCAAAGGAATAATTCTCATAACTTATTGTCAAACTTCAAATCATATCTCACTGGCTTTAGTACTTGACTTTCAGATAATTGGTCTTAGGTTTTGGAATCTTGCTCCTCAAACTGCCAACTGCACGACCAGTTAATATCATCAGATCATGCACACTATCAGTAAAGTGAACCAACGTGAATCGATATCACTTTGGTACTCTTTGGAAGTATGCACTCATAACCCAGTTGGGAGGGGGGCGGGGAGAATCCACTGTCTTAAGGTTACGACGTGAGCACATTTCCAATGGTTTCTTTTAGTTGATATGGGTTTGTGATTATATCTAACTTGAAATCAGTTAAATTTCTACAAACCAATCTGCCAAGTAAGTTATTTTAACTCACAGATTTGTAGCTTAGGCTGGAATTAGCCTTTTTTGTATTGATTGGTCACTAGGGGGCAAACAGCGCCACATGTCTAGTTCTTAGTAGTAGTAGTAGTAGGAGTAGTGTTTGTGCTGACTGAATTCTATCAGTCATGTTTGCAATGAGATCAGCAAACCACCTACGACAGTGTACTCTGAAATAGGCATTCCTTAAACTTTAAAATTCAGCTGCGAACGTTTCATTATCAAGCTTGTCAACATGCTAAGCACAAACATTTACTTCTTAATAAGCATGAAATTCTCATGACAAATATCAATCAGTTTAATGTTTGTCAGTGTGAAGAAAATATATACCAATACCAATATTTGTGTTGATTATGCATACAAACAAATAAAAACAAACACACACTCAAAGTCATCTACGCACAAGTTGAGCTGTATTTATTCGATGACAGATGTACAGTCAAATATCATATCATGCACACACACACACGCACACACTGATAGACATTATTTTGAAAAACTTGAGTAAACTATCATATCATATTATTGAAAATAATATCCATGCAAATATTGACATTATTCACGCCATATATGCATATACATATACCAAAGGTTATTACTATGCATAGTAAGTAGTATATGATTACACATAATATTAAATAAATTTATATTAGATTACTTACTAATTGTTAATTGATTCATATTTTGAAAAGAGTAGATTTGTGTCAATCTGTTCAAAAAGTAATCCGCTAGTACCACGCTTGATTAAGCTAGTCGGTGATTCAGAGTTAGAATGCTTGCCAACCGCAAAACATGGTCTGAATTCCGATCCCCGACTAAGACACTGCTAAACCTTACCTAGCTGGTAGCAAGTCTAGTAAAGATTAGGAGACTAGCGGTGTGAGACTAGCAACCGCACTCTACAAAAAAGAGAACACAGCCGCTACTGAAACTTCAAAGCCTCAAGCCCTAAGCTCTATATCCCCCCCCCCGCCCTCAAAACTCAAGAATTAAAGGAAGTTAAACATATCAATCGTCGAGATACACAGCTGGGCATTAGTGCTGGTAATTTCAGTGAAACAGTAACATGAGTCTAGTCGTTCAACAAGTAGACAACCGGAATGATAATCTGGAAGCCAGTGATCACAATCCTGCTGTAACTCATCGCATTAATTACTATAAACAGAATATATTATCTGTTGTATCCTTTGCATTCTGGCTGGAACACTGGGTGACTTCAGGCTTTGAAGTTTTTGTAACAATGTTGTTCATTAGGAGATAGAATTACTAGTTTCACACCTAATCTTCTCCTCTTTTGGGGGGCTTACAACCTGTTAGGAAACCAGGTGAAGTCTAGGATTTCTTTGGGCTGGAATCAAACCCCTAAAGTCTTGCGTAGTTTGGTTAGTGTCTGTTGTGCTGTACAACATAAACAGCTTATAATTATGCTTCTCTTGAAAAATCAGTAACTATTTTTATTCCTTTTACGTTCGCAGTAGAACATAGAGCTTCAAGCAGTGATGTTTAGATATTACTGTGTAGGGTTGCTAGCCTTATGCCCAACCTTCCCTCTTTGTCGAGATTGTAACCGACTAAGGGAGGTAAAGGTGTGCGCCGGCCGGAACTCGAACCCCAAACCACGTACCTTTTTTGAAGGAAAAATCTATTTCAGTTACACATACGTATATGTAGTCAATGAAGAATTTTTAAAAAACTCTTATCTCACTAAAATAAAACGAAATCAATTAAAAACAAAACAAAACAAAGTAGAATCACACAGAGGAGAAATTGTCTTTTCTCTTCCTTCAAAATAAACACCAAGTAACAAAGTAGTGTCCACTTTTTTTGAACAAACACAAATAAATTCACAGGGAACAAAAAGCGAAGGCGAAGGCAAAGGGGGGGGACAGAAAGAAGGATAGATAATAAACCAAATTGGGCAAGTAAGTAATAAACAAGCGAACTTACAAAGAAAGACACTAGCAACAGTAGTTTTTACATATTTTGTATGACAACAACAGGAACGACTGTGTTGTTTTGTTTTGTTTTAAGCTAACCATTCGATTCACATGATTTTTACTCTTTATTCCTCTTTTTGTCATATAGTGGACATACACAATGATTTATTATTATTACTATTATTATTAGTAGTAGTAGTATTCTTTTGTGTTCGCCTGTTAGGTCTTATTTGTTATCAACCTTGTGTGTGTGTGCTTTTTGTCAACCTTTCACATACATTTCCAGTGAAAATTATCAGCTTACTTTGCTGATTGCATGGAGGATTTCATCATGAGCTGACATCAGTTAGAGAACCACTGGAAAACCTGGGGGTACTGGACAGGCAGTAACCCATCGAAGACATTGCGAAATGTTCGCACTTTGTCGTAAATTGGCAGTTAGAATTCAAGGACCATTGGATCGGGTCCCAGTGGCTCAATGGCCTACGAGCTCGCCTTGTAACCAGAACGTCCTGGGTTCGAACCCTGTTGATGGGTGCGTACTGCTGAATAAGAGTCCCAAGCTAGGACGAAACAGCTGTCAAGTATTCCCAGGTGGGTTTTCCAGTGGTTCTGTAACTGATGTCAGATCATGATGAAATCCTCCACGCACTCAAACAAAATCCCTACAGATCCAATACTTGAAAGCGTACTTTTCTATTTATCACAAATGTGATCTATGATGCTGTGTCAAAAACTAAATAAATAGATATAAACTTATGGGAATTCCATACGCCTATATGTATCTAAACAGGGAATGATATCCCCGCTTTATATAGCACACCAGTCTACTGTGTCATACACTTATTTTAAGATTATGTACCT